ACTTAAAAATTGGAAAAAACGTGTTTCATTCGGTCTTTACAGCCCAATCAAGCCACACTCCGCCATAACACCAGCACTAGAAGCATATGGGGGGCAACGAAAGTGAAAAAGAGTCAAATGGAAAAAAATATGGAATCAGCCTGAGTTTAACGTGAGCTACTAGGATAGAGAAAATAAAAGCCACAAAACTAAGTTATCAATCACCACGCCGTCAAAAGCACAAGTTTTCCAAGAGCAAACCCCGAGGAGAGAGACTAGAAGAAATACTGCCGTGAGAAACTACTGGCAATACCGACAAGTATGATCACAAGGGAGACGAGGAGAGGAAAATAACACGGTAAACGGAAGCGAATCAAGAAAGAGAGGAGGACAAAAATGTGCTAGGAAGAAGCGTGTGACCACAAACCTCCCAACCATCGAGACGCAGAAACAAGAACAAAAAGGCAAAAAAAAGGGAAAATAAGGGGAAAAAAGGCTGTTTAGCGCAAAACGAAGTTTCCGAGATAGAGAAGAGAAAGCCATTAGGTGGAAAATGAAGAAGATAAGATCCCCAAGGCTCCGTCCATTGAAAGTAAAAATCAATTAGCGCCATTCAGCTCGCCCGGTTCCGATCCCGATCCCGTTGCGGCCCAAAATCTACCTCCACAGTCTTGCCCTTTTTGTTTTTAACAGCAAACTCTGCCACTAACGCCAAATGGTCACTGGGGAAATGGTAATTCGGAAACCCGGGAACTTTCTGCAAATATTCCTTGTCCACCTCTCCTAACAGCCCTGTGACTTGGAGCAAATTTGATGAGTACCAGATATAGTCGATGACATCAGTGAAACCCGGTGTATAATTGGTGAAGCTGAGTTCGCCTATAGAGCCATAGGATGATTTTAAGGTGAAAGGGTGCGTCATCCCAACGCGGCTAAGCTTCCCATAAAGCCGATTCTCGAGATCAGGATGCTCTTCTTCCATCCGGCCATGCGCGAGTAGGTTGTACACAGCGGATCCAGGGCAGGAATTGAAATCCCCACACACAATAATGGGAACCTGCGAAACGCTAGAGTACTCAACGGACGGTGCTGGCTCCACTGAGGGTGATGGATTTTGGTTCTCGTTTGCGTCTTCAGGTTCCGAGAAGCGGAATGCGGTCTTGTCCTGTAGCGGTGGGATTGTGAGGTATTTCTCTGCCAGCTGGGTGACTTCTTCCATCATGATTGCAGCTTGAATAAGTTTGACGTCCTTGTATGCGGGATCCCAAAATATGTGGGCATTAACCACAATTATACGTTCTCCAGACATCCGGTTCTCGAGGTAAACAACAACTGCGATATTATCCTTCTGCCACAGTCGATTGTAAATATCATCTTGGCCTTTGGCATCCGGGCGTCGAACTGCTGTTTGGCCGAAATGGATCATATTTTTTTCCAGTAGGATGTATTTGCTGCTCTTAAAGAATGTAGCGCACCCATCGACGGCCTTGGCCTCTTCCTCATTCATCCCTTGTGCACGACCTTTTGGCCAATAGACTCCCTTGTAGTCGTTGTATGCCAGTTGTTCTCTGAAGAATTCATTATAGCTACCTTGATCGACTTCTTGGAGGCATACTATATCGGCGTCTTGGCCTCTTATCTCATTCAATAGGAGATCACGGCGTAGCTCCCAGGATAATGCCCGTGACGGGGCATATCCGTACTGTTGATGAGTTGCATACCTATCGCACAGAGTGTTGTATGTGAGGGCCGTGATTTTGTTAGTTGCTCCAGATGACGAGGTTCGGCGGCTTTCATCCAAAACAATCCAATCACGATCAGACGGAGGTAGAGGGACTATATCACATTAGACATTAGCTATAATGTAGGCTAGGATCTTGTAGAAGATTGAAAACTTACCTGGTGTTTCTTCTTTCAGATATTTAACCAACGCTTTGGTTCCTTCCTGCATTATTCGAGACTTTAAAACATCCGTCAACGGGTTCCCTTCGATTCCCAATGTTTCAAGTTGATATAAGTAGCCAAGTTCGTATGGAAGGGTTTCAAGGTTATTATCGAACAGCAAGAGCCTCTTCAGATTGATAAGCATCCCGATTTCCTCCGGAAGCTCAGTAAGTTCATTGCAAGAGATATCCAGATGCGTTAGATTCTTGAGTTGGCCGATACGTCCAGGAAGGGATTTTAGCTTGTTATGGTTCAAATAAAGCTTGTCAAGGAAGATATAATGAAACAGGCCGCCGGAAATAGCACGGAGGCCTTGTCCACCGAAATCGAGAGCCATCCAATCCTGCCTACGGTTGTCTTTCACTGCGACTGCACGGTTGCGTTCTTCTGTACCATTTTCATTCCCATCATTCTGGTTAGCTGATAACTGAATACCCTTTGTCTGCTGAGCAACCGATCTCGCATAATAGTGAGGTGAATTAGCTTGTCGTGATTCTGCTGCCAACTGCAACTGCTGCTGCCAATGCTCGTTCATGGGCTCATCAAGCTCATCTTCTATATTTGTCGTGGTACCATTCTGAAGATGAGGAGGCGCAAAGTGTTGAGGGGCATTTACTAGAGCTCCACCAGCAAAATTGTGTTGATGCGTGAGAGGTTGGCCTTGTTGGGAGTGCGGGGCGTGATGTTGTTGTTGCTGTTGCGAAGGGTGAGGATGTTGGCCAGGGTGTTGATACGTCGGCATAGGAATTCCAAATCTTTGGCGGCCTTGGGTGCCATTCATCAAGACAGGCTGGCCTTGGTGGTGCCGGTCTTGGTGAGCTTGTGAATACATATTGAACGAATTGATGCCAGGAGATTGATTGATAGGAGGAGATCGAGAGGGAGATGGGGTGTCAGTATTGAACTTTAACCGTCCGGTAGGAGAGCTGGTTCCGTTGCGAACTAGGTGTCTTTGGTGGGCGTGGTGATGTTGCTGTTGAGATTGAGTCTGAAAATAAAATTGCCCGGTCCCAGGCTGGTGGAACCGGTAGGTACCATCTGCCATTTAACGAGGCAGATGAGACCGAGGGTGTATTCTATTGGATAAAGAGTGTCGGAGCAAGTATCGAGGTAGGCAAACGGACTTCGGAGTTGGTGGTGTGAAGGGTTGGGGTTGTCTCCTTCGTCTCTTCAACATGAGGCCCTACACCGGGAACCTTCAATAGAGAAAGAATGTAATCGATATAAATCCACCCACACGTGTGTATGCCTTTGAGTTAAAATATCAACTCCCAGGTCACCACTCAGATCGGAACCAAAGTATTCACAACTGGAGCACGTAGGCCGTAGTGCCAGTCACTTGGCAGGTTATGTGATGTAGCTGGATGCAACACAACAACTTAGCAAGAGTATGTTAAAGGGTTATTTATGGACAGGAGGGTATTCACTACTTACATTAAGCTATAGCTCTGTCCCTTTGGCCAACGTGATGGTGGTAATTCGGAGGTTGCCTGTCTATTCATTCCAACATTGAGGAGGTGTTTAGCCTGCGAAGTGGGAGAACCTGCAACACCACGTGATTTTTTTCTTCTTCCATTCACTACAAGCTGTCAGGTGACCTCAAGCAAACTAGGCCATGTCGAACTTAGTGAGCAAAAGGATTGGATGAAAGGACGCGATCAATCAGGACACTTTGGCAGACTCAGTTCAGGTTTTCTTACCAAGTATGCTGTTCTGGCGCATGATTTGCAATGGGCAGCACCCTATAATTGATGCAAGTTGTCCCCATGGACTTTTACTAGGATCTAACCCAGCAGTGAAACTCATGACTCCCTTGCTTTTGGTTGATGCTATCTTGCAACAAATGCATGGCAAGTGGTACCTAGTGCCCTCTAATGCCCATGATGTATATATCTATTGAAAATGAATATCAAATATAATGCAAAGTGTCTCTCAAAGTATATCACTCTGTTTCTCCAAATCATCCTGTCCGGACCCAAAAAATTCTCATCCTAAGAGGCTGTCTACTATGTCTTGGTGTCAATCCCTGCCAAGCTCACATATATCCCTTGCATCTACTAGATTCACGAGTCGATTAAGGAACGGATACTTTAGTAGTGGAATATGTATTGGATACTTTGTGCCAGGGGTATATTAATTTGGTCCTTTCACATCTGTTACACATGTTCCTTAAAGTTATAGTTATAAGGGCAGAGCACATCCATCCTGTGCACCTTCCAGCAAATTTTGATATCAAATCTCGCATATTATTGGTTGCAGTATTAAATTTAATCTTTTGAGGTAAATGCCAATCAATACCTACACTAGATAGCCAACTATTCTAAGCTTTACTTAGTCACCTAGTACCTATTAACTAGTTAGTTAGTTATCTCCTCAGTGGCTACCTACCTAGGTAGTTAGCCGCGACCTCAGTTGATCTAGAAGATTCTACATCACATGCAACATCGAAGTCAGGTTAGCCTGAAGGTGACTCATTTTCGAGGAAAGTAGAACACCCATCCTAATTTTCCACTTTGGGAGGGAAACGAACACATTGTAGTACAGAAGTGCTACAGAGGACAGCTTCTCTACAGAATATTAATGAGCTTCGTATGTGAGATTAATGCATCCCGTACATGGCCTCGGAATGTACTAAGTTGGTCGGAATATAGCGTATAACTTACACAGTTAATGCCGTCCAGCTCTCTCTGCCTTTCGTACTTGTGATAGTTGGTGGAGGGGAGGCTGTGTGGAGACTGTTACCTTTGAAACCTGATCTGATCCACTTGTGACCAACACGGAGTAACTACATTTTTGATCTAATACTCCATGTATGGAGTAAATGGTTAGTTAGTTAGTTATTTATAGGAAAAGGAATAGTATTCATCAACATCTAGGGAGTAAACCCAATAATCCAAGCATCCGGGGTATTTTCTTTTAATAAATAGTTACCTAGGTACTCTGTCATCAACTAACTAACTAAATGTTGAGGACTGTGGTGTCACGTGAGAGAGTTGGTGGTTTGTTCTTTTTCTTAGGTGTATATTTTCTAACAGGATGGGATTATATTAAAGTCTGGGGGAATAATATTTCGTGAAGACGCGGTGGTAGAGTGGTTAATACGCACCATTACTTGAAGGGCTGAAACCGTACGGGAGAAATCCATGCCTTTGACGAGAGGACCGGCGGGACCCCGGAGAAAAGTGGTGTTCCTTCGGGAGCGCAGGTTCGAATCCTGCCTGCGTCGATTCATGCTTATTTTTTTACGCCGATTGTTCGTTGGAAAACACCACACGATTGAGTCCACGTTCACTCGTTGCAAGATAAATATATTCAAGTCTACAGAGAACATACCTCCCCCCTTCTATATTAATTTTAACAGGGTTGTTGTCGAGCCAAGGGCTCAGGAAAGAGTTTGTGCTCCATCATAAACTCAGAAAAAGGATTTGATTGGTGTCTAGGCGGCCAGGGCCCCGGAGTGGCGGCCAGGCGGCGAGGCTCGCCCAACGGAAACATGGAGATGGAACCAGCGCATGTTCGCCGTTGATATAACTGTCATCGCGTGGCAACCGCATGGATAAGTAAGGGGTATGCGATACGGGACTGGGTCAGTGATACCCGCGGGCAAGCGTGTTTTTACTCCTCCTGGGTCAGAAACACACCCACCACGAGTCTCTACGAGAGGTTGTCTCTTCTTGTCTTGGAATATAGAATCCGATGATGGTCCATCCATCCCGTTTTCGGAATCCAAGTCTTTAATATCCGTTATATCCCGGTACTAACTAACTAGTTATTAGCCACCAGGAACGCATATACAAAATCCCAGGGGGAGGGAAAGGGAAAGCCAACTTTAGTTACATTACATTTGTTTTTTTAATTCCCCGCAGCTTATCCAGACTATTAAGTTCCCTAGGCTCGTTATTAGCTCATCGTAGTATCATAAAATCTTCTCTGGGGTATCGCTCACACGCCCTCCTTTCTTTTCTCTTCCCCTCCATCCCTTTCTCTCTTCTTGCCCCCGTTGGCTTAACTATCGCTTCCCCCCCCCCCCAAGGTTTAGTGCGATGGTTGAGTTTGTCGTTGACCCGTTGACTGTTGGAACTCTGCGGCTCTCACAGATACCAATCCACCTGACTAGGAGTATCTTGTGCGTTCTGGAACGACGATTGTGGAACCCCTGAAACCAGCAATTTTAACCCAAGAACTGTCCTAAGAAAACGCCGGAGAGGATCACGGTCGCAAATCGAGTGAAACCATTAAAATTGAATCGGAGGTGGGCGAGCAAGAGCGACAAGTAGCAGGGAGGCAGGCAGACAGACAGACAGCAGCTGGTCGGTCAGTAAGAAAAACGGAGGCGACACAGACCACGAAGGGAGTCAGGGAGCTGGCGGAGGCAAGGGCGCACTGGGCGCACTGGCTTATGCATGCGACGAGGAAGGGCCCGCAAAATTATACTCCGTACTATCACCTCAGTAGTACGATTGGTCATTGGTCTGTTATCGATTCGATATTCTTGAGAGCGGAGCAGTCCGTTCAGGATCCAGGGGCCGAAAATCTTATTTTTTTTTATTACGGGACATTTCTTTTTCCTGCCAGTTGCCATCATGGCAATGAACCCAGCAGGCATTTCATATTACTACATGCCCCCGGCAAATGGCGCGGATGTCAATTTCAAGGCAGCTCATCACAACAATAACGATCCCGCCAGCATGCATGCGCCATCCTCCTCAACCACCTCTATAGCGACTGATTACACTACATACCCTTTGATCAGACAGCATGGGCGAACCTACCTCCGAGACCCCGAAAACCCGTACCCTCTTCCCTGCGACATTGCTGAAATCCACCGGCAATCGCTACGCACGTTGACCCTAATGAGTGTTATGGGTGGACCATTTTGCACGCCCCATTTCGATAAACACCCTCCCAAAAGGGTCCTCGAGCTGGCTTGCGGATCTGGTCTATGGTCAAGTGCCTGTCATGAATATTTTACTCAACGAGGACATTCAGACATCTCCTTCACTGGCCTTGATATCGCCAACATAGCTCCAGATTTGTCCAAGCAGGGCGTTGATTGGCAGTTTAAACGGCATGATTTACGAAAACGCAAGTTACCATTTCCCAACGCGACATTTGATTTTGTGTTTGTGAAGGATGCCAGCATGTGCTCATCCACCGCCGATCTGCAAAGCGCAGGTCCTTTATCAGAGACACTTCGGGTGCTAAAGCCTGGTGGTGTGGTAGAAATCTGGGATTCTGATCTGATATTTCGGACTCTTCTACCTAACCCGCCCGGAGCTCCGGGAATAACAGAAGAAGATGAGGAACAAGCAAATGCAACCGGCACATACACCATTTCCCCTGCCACGCCGTGGACCGATGCGCAAAATATGTATCTCAAGGATTACAATGCCTGGATCCAGAAAGCGTTTGAGGCACGGAAGCTCAACCCGATGCCTTGTGCCACCATCAGCCTTGGCTTTACTTCGGAATCCGATTCTTTCAGTAGTTCAGACAGTCGCAGGGTTGCTATACCTCTAGGCGAAGTGAAGTGGGAACAAAAACAGCATGCAGAACAATTAACGCCGGATCAACTCGCTCTGCGTCAGACAACATTGCTGACCATTGTTGAGATGATCGAAAGTATGGAACCGATGCTGATGGAAGCGAGCGGGAAAGGAAAAGCAGAATGGGATAGGTGGTGGACCGGTATGACCACTGATATCTTGCAAAAGGGTGGTGTATCCAGCGGAGAATGCTTGGAGATCGGTGCTTGGTGGGGCCAGAAAAGATGATCGTACGGAGGCAGGCTTCGGACGGTACACATTTACGAAGGATATTATATATAATATATATACTCTTCACATCCAACGTGCGGATACGAAGGGATTCACGCAATTTTTCCCACGTCCGGACCTTACAACACCCCCACAGCGGATTGGATACTTGGAAGGATTTTGTTTTCATAGGGACTTCTATTCGAACGGTATTATCGCGTTTCCGGATTATCGTACCGCTTTCTCAAAGTGCGGTATCGTTTCAGGTAATACCTATATTTTAGGAGGAGGATTTTCTTAGCATTGCATTCAAATGGTTTATTGGAGGAGTTTCCCCAACTGATACCCCAAATCATAGGTGTACAGGTTAAAACAAAACGGACAGGGGGATAGAGAGAACAGTTTTGTATATAATCGGACGAAAAGGAGGGATATAATGGCGTATATAGACGTGGAAAGTATCTGGTTAAGGGAAAGGGTAGCCGTCATGGTTAGGATAGCAAAGGATTTTCTTCATAGTCAACCCGTGCCGCCTTATCTTTACTTCGCATCCTCGTAGAGAAATAGTCCAATGGCCGGTATATAGCGTATCGAGTTCAACTCGGTACTTACAGGGCTTCAATTTCTATTTCATGATTTAGTAACGGCTGAAGGTAATAAGGAGGGGCTTGATTTTTGAAGCAAAAGTACACAACTATCGGTTTACCTTTTTTAACGAATTCTGCTCGTTGTATCCCCTTTCTAATCTCGTTCTCGTCTGTGAGGTTTGCTTGGCTAGCAAAAGCACGATGCAGCCGTTCGCGGAAGTAAAAGTATCCGAGAGGATATTCTCGACCGATGAAGAGAAGCTCTATTGCGATAGATCTCACAGTGTTTAGCTCCAATACATAGTTAATTTGTAGTTAGATCAAGCTGGGATGGAATGACCTTTATAGATGTTCACAACTTGATGCCTTAAAGATCGAGTCATAATGGCCATGTGATAACTTTTCACTTGTACAATCAAAATATTTCTATATTTTATAACTACCCAAAATATCATCAATCTTAGTGTTGCGATGCTTTCGTTCGCCCATATCCTTTGGCTTAATCATGCACATCACGTGTATTTCGGTTTGCAGAATCACCGAGGATCATGCAGGAATCAGCCCAGGGTTCGAGGGAAACGCAATCCTCGTATGCTAGTTATCAGGCAGACGAGGAAAAGGGTTTTAATATCATGTTTCTCACTCGTTCAACTCGAAGAGGACTTCTTATACGCCAAGTTTTTAACTCTCAAATCATATTACCCTCCATACAGTATCGAGCATCGCATACCAATTCCACTACCCTCCCTCCCCCGATCCATTCGAAATGGTTGTCATCAATCAAATCCCGTGTCGGGAAGTGCATTATGTTTGGTTTGAAGCCTGATCAGGTGGCTATTGCGGGAAGAATACTGGAGGAGGTTGCACAGGATTGGCGAGAGCTCATCGCTGGTAGTGAAGGATTCTTGACTGGACCATTGCGTCGTGGGCTATTTCGACACAATGTTGTTTGGGGAGAGATGGTATAGTATCTTGACTTGGGTGTAAAGCTTTATTTTTTTATCCAGACGCTCTTTGACTGATTGTATTGTCTGTCCCTACGTCGCTTCTTCTAGGATGTGATGGTAAGTTTCTTGTCTTTCCCTGCATAGTAGTCGGCAACAAATATGGTTTTATATTACCCAAATATTGTGTTGCCCGTTTGGTTACAGGCTCAATAGCACATATACGTTCACCCATTTATCTGCCATATTTGCTACTTTTTTTCTCTTTTCTTTGCTTAAAGTCATCCATGCTAAGTGATTGGAATAAGGGTACGTTTGGATTCTCCTTCGCAGTGCATTTCTAAGGATTAAGATTGAGCCGAACACGGACGGTCCCTATCCTCCATTCCTGAGCGTCTCCGATATATTCCTAATTGCTAACAAGCAACAACTTAGCCCACGTAAACAATGTAATGTATATTCGATATGCAGAGACTGGCCGGATCAACTGGACGCGCAATTTCGCGGTTCATCTTGACCCTAAACATAAAAAGGAGTGGTTGGAACTCATTGGGAACACGGGTATTGGGTTTATATTAAAAAGTATCAAGGTGGATTATAAATTTGTGAGTTCTGCTCTGCTTAGTCGCTTCTTCTCATTCCCAGAAGACGAGCTTGTCACTGAGTGTAGACTTTCATTTCATCTGGTAGCCGATGACATCCCCGGATCAGATAACGGTCTACCACAGACTCGCCAATCGCCCTCCTTTCCCATCCTCATCTGACCCAGAGAAATACTCGAATATGAACCTCGAGGTAATGATACTTTCGGAAGCTAAACAACGGCCGGCAGCGCGCTGTGAAGAGGATATCGTCCTTTATGACTATAGAATTGGTCGCAAAGTTTCCAAACTCCCACATTTTATGCTCGATCAGTTTCGTAAAACCTGGGAGCTGCAG